AAGATTTTTGCCCTCGATAAGACTTGCCGAATTGTTTTTTTTTTTTTTTTTAAGTACTTATAATGTAAAAAGAAGATAGGAAGTAACTGTATATCGATTAATGATGAATCATAACGATTCTCGAATTCTTATCTCTTTCTTATCCTGCAGATTTATATCCAGATCTCGAAAAGATATATAAATCTTAAAATATCGGCGTTATTATATATATATTATTTTATTTGTCTTTATACCTATATCAGTTATCGTGATAATCATTGAATAAGCCATGTTGAATCGTAACCTCGAAAATGAGGAAATTACGCACTAATTTCTTGCGTAATTGAAGTTTTATAATATCTATTGTATGTATTAGGTCTATTCTCTTTGGTAGAACCTTTTGCACTATTTTCATCTGTCTTCTTCTTCTCTCTATTGTTAGAGAAAAAAAGAGGAAGATAAACGATACAAAACTTTTAGTTAAAAAGATGAATGTACCAATTCTTATGGTATTTGTAAAGGTACGTAAAAAACTGCCCTATAGTTGTTTTTTTGATAAAAAGTCGTATAATAATAAGAATTATACGTTTCTTTGTCTTTTGAAGAAATGCGAATTGTACACCAATTCTTATCAGACTTATATTGACGTGATTAGTGACGTAATTTCGATGCAGATATCGTATTTTTCTTTCAGTAGCATTTGATGTCGTTTTGAGATTCGTTACGGCATAACATATACAATCTCATATGATGTAATAAACGTACGTTCTGTCACAAAACGCGATAGAAAAATAGTTTTGAGGAGTTATAGGTTCCTCTTTTGAATGTGAGTGAGTGAGTGTGTGTGTGTGTGTAAATGTATATGCGAAAGTGATACCTAATCATTTTCTCCAGTTCGCAAACATGGCAGTTTTGATTTAATTCTTTCTTCATTTTTACGTTATCGAAAGCGCTTTGTTGTATCGACAAACGTACGCAGTGGCCAATTCACGTAATTTTATTACAAGGAATCAAAGCCTAATCTAACACCAAGTATAACGATAGCCTTGACTTCCTTTTGACTTCTTTTGCGTTTTTAATTACTCTCTGCCCGTTTCTCTTGTCTTACGTATTCTTATCACATATTTTGGTTTATCTATTAGTATTTCTTTCTGAATTGTTCTATTAATTTTTAGTCGATTCTACTTCTTTTTTTCACAATCTAACTTTTTGTGACGATGTTTGCGGCTTTATTTTCTCACTATCAATATTTATTCGTTAATATTTCTCACGTCGGAAGCGGAAATATTTATTTCTATTTCGTAACGTTGTTATTACGATAAACTTATTTAACATTAATGTCGCATGTATTCATCATTTACACAATCATTTAATTTTCTATAGCGAATAATTTCTCTTCCACGAATAAATTTTGTTTGCATTATTGATATCTTATCGTTATTATCACTAATGTGATGAGAATAAGAAATGTAAAACCATTACGAATTTATAATAATAAAAAGTTTGAGAAAAATAGGGGAAATATTATAGTTACACTTTTATTTTAATCCTGTTAATCAGCTTGAATCTATTTGATCCAAAATGTTATGTTTTTCATAATGTAAGGTTTTTTTCTGTGAAAATTTACTTTAGTTTTTTAGAACTTTTTAATTATATTGACTTAAATGGTATATGATTGTATAATACATTTGAGCAGACCAGCAGGATTAAAATTTATATGAATAAATAATTATTCAACTTTATGTTATTTGGCATTAAATCCGTTGCTTATTATCTTCCGCTGTAATTATATTAATATTCATTAATTCCCATTTTAATGCCGACTTTTGAATATATTATTTGGTCACACTCATATTTTAACACGATTCTGGGTAATTCCTATCATGAAACAAAGTCGGAATGAATTCCGATCGGAATTTATTCGGAATTTGTTCCATGATACGTGCCTCTGTTTTAGAAATTACATTATTATGAAACTATACACTGTCAATCGAAAGCCGCTTCATGTATTGCTTTCATTCGAGTACAGGAGCTGGTTTTCTATAAATGTCTCGAGTCTCCTTCACAAATGCCACAAAGTAAACCGTTACGATTTCACTGGATCCACGCACATGCGAACTATACATCTGGTTGTTTTTTTAAATGAAAATTATATGTGTAAGTTATTCGTTTACTATTGGTACCCGTTATTAATTGACACTTCGCGATAAATTACATCAAAACCAAGAATATGCAATATCTTGCAGTTTTACGAGTACTGAAATGTTTGCAGCAATAAAATTCATGGCTTGTACATACATTGTTTTTTTATCGTAAAAAATATTTTTTAAGCTATTTATTTAAAACCTCATAGTAACCAAATTTAATTATGATTGGACAGTAAACGCAACAGTATACATGTTGGTAAAAAATGTCAAACTCTTCTTCATGTTTTGGCACATTGACAATAATACAAATATGAAGGATATTGCAATATTGGATGAGGTTTCCTGCAAGTGATCGTAATAATATATAATATATATATCCATCTACACGGTGTATTCAATTGTTATTGAAACATTTGATAATAATGTGAAATTGATAAAATCTAGTAGTTACAAAATTTTTTGTGATAAATAAAAGATTTTTTATCTCGATCGACTTTTTAAAGTATATCAACATTTGTTATTACAACTGTCCAAAATCATCTTTCAAGTGTTAACTTTGCATAGAAGAGCCTTAAAAATTACGATTTAAACGACAAGGAAGAGCAACCGTTCAAGGAAATTTAAGACCACTTGAAATAATTTCTTATCGAATACGCATTTTTATTTTTCAAATCGCAATTATATATAGTTCGTTTCGCGTGTATGAACTTGCTATATATTTTTCAATGTATGTGTTATGTCAGAGGGATTATACATCGACTATATCTTATATCGTAAACGCATGTGGAAGTAAAACCGGCTTTTACGAATGCTCCCTGCATTTTATCGTTCGCCGCAGCTCGCACTTTGGAATACAGCTGTTATGCGTACAGAATATTTTTGATGGTTATAAACAATCTCTCAGTGTCAAGATTAATAAACTTTAATTTTGGCATAGATTACACTTGAAAAGTTTATGCTAGCTGATGTTATAGTTTGCGATTGGTCATCTTACCCTCAAATTACTGAACTTTAGTCGAGATTATTCTGATTGATGGCCAGTTATTTTCTTCTACAATATATGTATAACCATCTACTTAAGAGAGAGATACTGGCATCTATTCTTTGTTACAATATCCCGTATTCTGTTGTGTATATATATATACATATATTAGTATATGTATACTATATATGTATATAGCAAGAGTATAGAAGCAGAACTCATATTTTCAATATTTCCCCAAGATTCTTTATAAAATTGAAAAAGCATTGTAAATATAGAGATTTGGATCACTATAACACAAACGTTTCATCTTTATTATTGAATTAGAAAGGCTGAACGCTTATATTACTTCTAATTCAACAGCGAAGGAAAACCTGAGAATACCAACTTTGCTTCTATACGTCGAATGTAAACGTATTACGCTACGAATTATCTTAATACGCAGGAATTACAAAACGTGCCTCTAGCTCGAATTCGGTTAAGAATTAAATAAAACTCGCTAAAAACATCCTTATTATTCCAAATGGCGTGAATTTGCAATTTGTCCGCCACTTATTCCGCCAGTTTAAGGCTTATGCGCTTGTCAGTCAAAGAACGCACTACTTTTTTGGTCGTCGTCGCGCATTAATTGGAGTGCGCGGTCACAATTCATAACGATACTTCTACAATCTGATTTTGCAACAAATATTTTTTTTTTTATAAATTTCACAAAAATGTGCTGTTATAAAAACATCTCGTCTCTCTGACATCTATATATGTTACAGAGTCCCGCTTCAGGGAATCACAAATCACGCGTATGCGACTCGTATGAGTACGTATGAATACTATCTACTTACCTACCTTTTATATCTCGACACTGCTAATTCGCCGAGCGATAAATCGATTATACGTTTACGTTAAACTAAATTGCACTAATACATTGCACGCGTTCTCGAGTGTTCTTTGGCATCTCTACAAATTATTACATATATAGATATATTTCGCTAATCACAAGTTCTGAGAGAAAAGGAAAATTTGTATTCGACACGGCAGGCCCGTACGTATAATTATATTAAAAAAAAAAATTACTTGTACGAGTTCGAGTCTCGGGTAGATTTCCTGAGAATGACGTTCGTGACACAGAGAGTAACATCTGGTGTGACACAGACGAACATAATCAGATTCCATCCATGCAATTTTTTAATCGCAGGGTAACGTTTATATTATTTATGTCTTGGAAAACATTAAAATAAATTATATATATATATATATAAATAAATTATATATATACATTTTCCAAATATTTCCAATATTTTCCGACGAACGAACGTTTCAAAAAAATTCCAAACATGCGCACGCACACACATGTACACATACACACAATTAAATCAACAATTAAACAACTAAATCTAATGTAACAGTGATAAACATAATAATATACACTATAAAGTAAAATACCACTAATACCACAAGGAACTTTTCTGAACTAAAATGCATTTTTCCTTTATAATAAAGATATTTGATAAATATAAGACTTTAAATAAAACAATACGTAACAAAAATTCAAAACTATAGATACGCTCAGCTTATTATTGACGACTTGACGAGAGATCTACTCGGTCATAATAAATATTAAACTCACTAGAGAAATCTTTGAGTGCTCGAACCCGTAGTTAACTTTCTGCAAATCGAAAGTTGCAGTTTTAAAGAAGGAACAACGGGCGACTGTGTCTATTATCACTCGTTTTGCTATTATCATTCACCACATCTCGACTTATACATCAAACACACACACAAACACTCTAATTATATCTGGATTAAATATTAGGATACGACTTTGGGTAGCACCACGATTGAAAGCGCCGACCTGTTCATACGGAAAGCTATTAACATATTCGCGAAACTTTCCCGTAGCGCCAAAACACAGCTCCGTATGGGTCGACGCTTTCAATTGTGGCGCTGCAAAGTCGTTCGTCTGTAGGAGCCCTTTATCAGACGTCATAGATTTCCACACTACAGAGTCCATTTGTCAAATCGATCCGTTGGTAACCATAGAGTTTATATGTAGATCGTGACACAGGTCAGGTGTATAGTATTACTGCAGTCGTACGTATAGTTTTGATATCTCCAAGTAACAACAATTCGACGAGTGGCCGACGAGTGTGGTTTCCCTTACCTTTCCCTCCCGTGCAGAAAAATAAGACGTGCCGCGACGGCAGTAATTAGATCGAACGTAGTACGTAATTTGTGCGCTTTTACGTAGTAAAAATAAAATCAGAGCTCTTTATAATTCGAGTAAGATAACCGAATACTATATTTGATTTTGTCGTGGTAGAGCAGTGAAGTCTTTCGTCGCGTATCAGAAAAGTTTCAATGGATTCAAATGATAAATTTCGCGACAAATACTTGCTACAAGTAATATAATTCAGTTACATGGAAATTTCGTCTCTCGCGACGCTGCCACTCAATGTCGAAATTTAACTCTCTACTGTCAACAATGTGATGAAATTTTCACCCTCTGTTTACAATCTATAGGTCCTTCAAATTTTACCGTAGATTTTTATACTGTTCTGGACTTTATAAAAATCTGAAAAAATTTTTTACATACTCGTGAAAGCTTCAGCAAGCAGTTTTTACTATCTTAGAAGTGAGAGTAGTTCACTTGCACACTTGTTACAATTACCCACTGCCAATAACAGCGACTTCGTAGGGGATTCTTTTTATTTTCTTTTTTGTTCTTGTTGTTGTAATTGGTCTGCGCGCAATTGATCTCGTGTGCAATCGATATACCCCCGTAGAAGTTGGAATGTCTTTTACTTATTTTTCACAGATTTCAATCGATCTATCAGAATTCACAATCAAACACACAATCAACTGTACCTTTAAAATCCAAGATGCCGATGGAGAATTGACGATCGTGATTTTTATATTACAAGGATAAGGAAGGAATGAATAGAAAAAGCAGGGAGTAAGGTTGTATCAGCGATAAAAGATACTTGGTCTCTATGGCTTCTGCGCGATATTGAAGTAATTGCGATGAAACAACTTTTGATTACGATATTGGGAGACCACGACTTGAGGATTCGGGATGTGGCGGACACCGAGATTGGGCTTGCTTTTCATGCCGAAACCGGAGATACGATGATGCGGCTGTGGGATACGTAAAGCGACCTTATTGGAGGCGACGTTGGTGGAGGCTATAGAGTCTACCGTCGTCGATTTGGTTTCCGTGCTACCCATGCGTGACACCGCGACATCCGAGAGAGTCTTCAAATTCGATTCTTGTTGTCCTTTACCGCGTTGCTGTTCCGCCTCCTTGGATTTGCGGACGACGTTGCCGAGGACGGTGCTCGCGGTAGTGGGTCGCGTTGACGTCTTCGATAACGGCGATAAGGACGAAGACGAGGAAGAGATAGGAGAAGATAATGATGTTGAGGAGGAGGATGATGAGGAGGACGAGGAGGAGGAAGAGGAGGAGGAGGAAGAGGAGGAGGAGGAGGAGGAGGACGAAGACGACGACGACGAGAAAGGTGGAAGATGGTTGCCGCTGGGTAACGTGGCTGAGAGATCGAGGACGTTGTCGTCAACGGTGGTACCACCGCCGCCACTACTGAGGTCTAACGGCGTTTCATACTTCGAAACGACATTCGACACTATCACGCTGGTCGCGGCAAAGCCGGAAGATTTCGCGATGTGTATAGGCGTCAACGGCGGTGGTTCCTTCAGCTTCGGCATGACGGGCACAGCCACGGGCGGCGCGGTAGACGCGGGAGTGGCGACGGTCACAGCAGCGGTGGCGGTGGCGGTGGCGGTGGCGGCTGCGGCTGCGGCAGTGGAAGTAAGAGCGGACGCTGGCGTCTTTATGACGGACGGCGATAATTCCTCCTTCTTGGAGATAATGGTTTTGAGGGCGTCGCGCATCTTCTTCTCCGCCAGCAAGCTTCGCACGCGATTCGCCTTGTTTTCGCGCAGCTGTTTCTCCAGCTTGTCGTGATTCAGGTTGCCCGCCTTGTCGGCGTTGCCCGCACTCGACTGCGCTCGTTGCTTCTGTGCCGTTCTGTCACCGCTGGCCTCGTTGACGGCTACCAGGCCCAGTCGGCGCAGAATCTCCTCGTCTTTCTTCGGTGTCTCCCCCTCGTCGCTGCTCTCCGGTGTTTTCGTACGTTCCACCATCTCCTTGGTACTCTTTTTCACCGTGGTGCTCTCCTTGGTGAGCTTGCCTTCTTCGTTTTGATTGTTTATGTTCTGCGCGATATGCACGACCTCGTCGGGTATGCTGTCGATGATATCCTCGATCGTTTCTTCCGGCTCTGGGACGTACTGTCTGAAGGGCTTGGTGTCCACGCGAACCAGTGGAATCGTCGGCGATCGCTGCCGCAATGCAATCGATTTCAGCTTGTCGCGTCTAACTGCTCGCATCTGTAACAGCTTCTCCTTCGTTTGACTGTTTCCGCTCCCACTGCCTGTCGCCCCGGAAGTGATTCGCGGTGGACACGGCGTCAGACGGACCTTCAGCTTCAGGAGATCCTCGCGCGGCACTGTGGTGATCTCCGCGATCACCCGTTTGCGCCGTTTACGTCGCTTCCGATGTTCCAATCTTGGCATGCTTCTGTCCTTGCTCCTCATTTTCTCTGGCGACCGATGACGATTGCTCGTCGACAGTTCGATAGCCGACGGAGGGTCCAGGGTACGCATAACGGGTGTCACCTCGCAGCGTGGTTTTTTCGTTTTTATCTCTTTGTCGCGAACACTGACGTTCGTTTCGAGAGCACGAGGTGGCTTCGTGTTACGAGTTTCCGCTTCGTGCACGCGATTCGGTTTGGGACTGGGTGGTGGGGTCGGTGGTCGCTGTATATTCTCTATCACCGGTGGAACATCCTTGGTCTCGTTGTTCTTGTATGCGGAAACTTTCAAGATCGAAATCACCTCTTCCTTTCGCAACACCCGGTAGAACAGCTTCATTGGCGCCTCCTGCAACAGACAGAGTCATCGCGCCGCCTTTCATAACGTGCACATCGCACACCGAATAGCCGTATAACGTAGGCTTATAGGTTCGGTTATAACAAATGAAAATTTATAGCTCTTGCTACTTGGCAAGTTTATTTATTTTATTACCAAGGAATTTCTCCAGAGTACTTTTCTCTCCAAGTAGACAATACTTCTTTTTGAACATAAAGCGACGATTTAACGATCGTGCGATTAAGTATCGAAATGTTGCCGCTATATATACATATAAGATGGCACGGAATTGCGATACCGATGGCAATGGTACAGTGTTTTTTGCGCAATAGCTCTTTAGTAAATGAAATGTTACGACTAATTAAAATGCAACGAATAAATATCCTTAATCCTTAAGTGGAAAATTACGCAGGTATGTGTTAACAAATACGTTTGTTTTTTTTGGATAGATTTTAAATTTAAAAAATATTATTATAAATAATACGAAATAATATATATATATATATATATACATATATACAGGGAGGGGCATTTAAAACAGGTCACCTGAATAACTCGCTTGTTTTTGACAATAGAAGAAAAAGTGTCAAACAAAAGTTGCTTGGTTTCGAGGGGCACGTAATGTGATGTCAATAATTGTTTTTTTGATGGAGGCGCTAATAAGATATGAAGGTCACCTCCACTTTTTTAAATGGAATTATGTATTTTTTTTTAAATAACGTGATTTCTCTAATTATTTTGCATATAAAAGTATCAAGGTAGAGATACCAAAAAACCAATAGTTTTCGAGATATTTTACACTTTATTTTGATACATATTGACACAAAATGTTAAATAACTCGTAAACTGTTGACTTTTTGATTATCGTACCTTAATACTTTTGTGAACAGAATAATGAGATAAATCAAATGGTGTAAAGAAAACACATAGTTGCGTATTTAAAAAATTATCCATTTTGTATACATATTTTTTTTAAAGCAACTATGTGTTTTCTTTACACCATTTGATTTATCTCATTATTCTGTTCACAAAAGTATTAAGGTACGATAATCAAAAAGTCAACAGTTTACGAGTTATTTAACATTTTGTGTCAATATGTATCAAAATAAAGTGTAAAATATCTCGAAAACTATTGGTTTTTTGGTATTTCTACCTTAATACTTTTATATGCAAAATAATTAGAGGAATCACGTTATCTAAAAAAAAAATACATAATTCCATTTAAAAAAGTGGAGGTGACCTTCATATCTTTTTAGCGCCTCCACCAAAAAAACAATTATTGACATCACATTATGTGCCCCTCGAAACCAAGCAACTTTTGTTTGACACTTTTTCTTCTATTGTCAAAAACAAGCGAGTTATTCAGGTGACCTGTTTTAAATGCCCCTCCCTGTATATATATGTGTGTGACACTCTTTTATCTCTTTTGTGTAATATAGAAAAATATAGAGAAACAGGAGGAAAAGCAACATTTAGGCCAAATCAACTCGAGTACTGAAAAGTTATTAATGCAGATTCGATTTGTAATGTTAAATCATTATACTCGATATCGTTGTGATATATCTATGATAACGAAGTCGATATATACAGAAATATGTAAACTCACCTTCTTCCATCGAAATATGCAAGCGAGATCTAAAAGTGTCCAAGAGGGATCCAGCGAATACATGTTTAACTGGTCGGGGTGCTGCTGCGTTTCTTCGTGTTTTTGGTATAAAATTTTTATCCTATTAACGACACCGTTGACGGTCGCGTTAGCCTCTTCCCAGCCTCTTTTCAGCATCAGCAGCCTCACCAGATGACGCACTGTCACAGCGGCCGGGCACTTGAGATACCTCGTGCTACCGCTTCTCGCACCTTCTTCATCCTTCCTCGACGAGACGCCGTCTTCTTCTTCCTCCTTCGGCGTCTCGTCTTCCGCGTCATCACCTAACTCTTGCAAGCTCAAACTGACGAGGTCCTCCAGGGTGAGATCGAGAGCACCCACGGGCGGTGTCAACGGCGGACATTGCGGATTCACCAGACGGAAATGGCATCTACGTTCGAGCTCCGACCGGAAGAGCCCGGGCACCGCAAGGTACACCAGCCGTTGGAGCCGCGCATCCGGCAAGAGGGGTGGCGACGTCGCGACGTTACACACAGGACACGCACGGGCGCCACTACTCAGACGTCGAACGATGCAACCTCTGCAAACTGATGACGATTCGCGTTCACGAAGAGGATGACCACTCGAACCGATTTAACAGATCGAATTAAATCGAGACATTTAACATTTTAATAACCGATAAAGTGATAATGATTGAAAAAGAATAACGTGCTAACTTTTCTAGATTTGAAAAAAGTGTTGTCAAGAATATCATATGATTCATGTATATGAGTGCAGAGACAGAGATGAATACACAAAATAATTTTATCATTATTGTATCGGTTGTAAGTTACAAAAAAATATCACCTGCTGCGTTTAAGAAAAGTATATCTTGAGAAAGAGACTAAGAAAATTGCCAAAATAATAATTCCGAAGACAAATTCAACATTATATTTGTTTCTTATTTTTTACAACTTGACCGCTTGATAATTAATAACAAACGATCGTGCTGAGCGAAATACTAACAGGAGTGCAGACATTCCACAAGAGTCGTAGCGTCTATGAGGTATCCTCTGCATAGGGGGCACACGATATGTTCGTTCAAATCTTTGACCAACGGCTTTTTCCTCTCCTTTGCCTCCATGTTGTTAACCTGTGCTGAAACAGCTGTGCCAATCGATTGTTAATCTATATAGTGAACAATACAGCTGCCGATACAGTTACGAGTTATTATATTGACACACATATACACACACACGTTCGATAATTACATTTTAATCTTTAATTCCGTGTGTTGTAGAAAAAACCATCATGGGTCTTTTCTCAATCTTATTATTCCATATCGCAATGGAAATTATTTTCAAACAATTTTTTTGTAAACAAGACAATTATTTTACAATAATTACAAAATATTTTTTATATATAAAATACATAATATAATTACAAAAATATTTTACAAAAAATACGACAAATAACTCGAACTAATACACGAGACTGTACCTCTTACATTCGTTTAACGTTCTAAATTTTTAATATAGCTTTATAATACGTTCATATAAATATTTGACGAAGGTATGGTTTTTCAACGAAATAGAACGAAAGTGAAATGTACATAAATTAGATTCTCTGGAACAAAGTGTGAGAAAGGTATAGACTTATAGAAACAGGATCTTTTTATTTTCCAGAACGAGCTAGTGCAGTCTACGCGACAGCTTAAGAATCACCACGACGTTATCGCGGTGCACGTCACGGCGACAAGATGCGTAAAATAAGTATATAAATCAGTAGCGCGAGCCGCTGGCGATGCATCCGTGGAAACACGCAACGACACTACCTAGCAACGCGTGCTCGCGGTGCATTCCCGTTGCAGCGCCACGCGAGACGCTGACGCGGCGTGGCCGTGGCGCGGCGCGACGCCCGCATGCGATGAACGCGGCACGCGATTTCCATGCGCATCGGCGCACCACGCCGACGTGCGTGCTGGGCGAGACGTGCGTGGACAAATGCCCCTTGCGAGGGGGAACCCACACGTCGGGGGAAGCCGGGGGAAGCGTGCCGACGAGAGGACTTTAAGGTCTATCTCTTAAAGGGGATGCTTTCTCTACTCCGGCGCGGCTCCCTTTTTCTCTCCTTCCTCTCCCTCCCTCCTCGTCCGTCGCCCATCCAAGAACCAGTGTGATACTTTCGAGCCGGTAAACACGCCGGAGCTCAACGAGCTCGGCGCGGCGTACAGGTGTGTAAGTGCGTGTCGCTGTGTACGAGTTTCGTCCGTGCGACCGCGCGGTTTGTGCGGTTTTATATGATGCTCGTGTCACATCAGTGACGAGAATATAGCTAAAGGCTCCGTAGCGTATAAAAGAAATGCAACACGATAATCGCAATCGAGTATTCTCCTCGAGGTAACCTATCATTTTCAAGAATACCACACGCTTGTTAACAATTGCGATTGTTGCCAACTGCCTTTCTTCTTTTTCTTTTACCTGCCAAAGTGAGACTCCCGGTTTTCGTAACGCGTTGCTGGAACCGAACGAGAGCAAAAGCGACGAACAGTAACGAAGACCCGCGAACGAAAAACAGTATTCTAAATGTAAATATTAATTAACGGTCATTACTAATTAATTAACACAATCATACATTATCATTAAATTAATATTATTTGTAATTATGTACAGTTATCATGAATATTACATTAGATCACAAAACAATAATGGTAATGATAATTGTAAGCAAATAAAAGTGGCATAATGTGACTTTCTCGAAAAGCGCAACTATAGTATAGTCATCGTAATAAAATGTACATAGTTATCTCCATATCGGCAACAGTTATTTAAAAAGAGTATAGGAAAAATTCATTTCCATCGTTTCCCGACTCATTTTTTTATTTCTTACATAGTTCACTCACGAGGTTCTAACCACTTTGTTTACTCCAACGTCGCTAAGTGTAACAATTATTCCCGTTGCGCAAGGTCGCGATGCGCAGTTCTGAAAAATAGTTTCGGTGAAATAGTATAACACGCTAAGCCGACTGGCTATACCGTGCGATGGCATAACGATGTTGCGGTGGGTTAATGAACTTTTGAAAACGAAAGTCGACCACCACCATATTATTTGTGCCCTGTTGGTATAACGTTAGCACGTCAGGCGTATACGAATCTGTGCGAAAGAGATTCCGGTCTGTGAATGATCCGCTAAGGTTGGACACGCAAGAGGAGGGATGAACATCTCTCTCTCTCCTTCGCTCATGAGCGAGAGAGAGGGAGAGAGAGAGAGAGGATACGGGTACCAAGCCCCGGAAAACGTTCCTCACATGCCGTGACTCGTCAGAAATCGAGTCACGTGTCATCGCTCGCGCTGGATAAACAAACTTGCGAGGTCAGACGAATTCGGATCGATCCTCGAGACTTCGGTGTTACCTATCGCGAAAGAAACGATCCGCTCGCATTCTATTTTTCGACCGATCGAAGAAGCGAGGAAGGATGTCCGGTCGAGAAATTCTGGCTCCACGTTTAATGTATCCAAGCTGAAGATGCCAAAAGCCGAATCGAAATCATTTTCTACCTGCAGTTTTGTGATCGGTGTGCAATACATATTATATAGTATTACAAGTTTCAAAACAGTAGATGGATAGGTAAATCAATTACATAATACACAAAATTTTATAATTAATGTAGATTATATCGTTCTCATCTCTCTCTTTTTTGTAAAACTATTTTTTTTGTATTTATTAGCTCCGATTGAATTGGGCATCCGACAATGTTTGAAAATTAAGCGACATATGTAAAAAAAAAACAAATACTAAATATTTCGCTGAATATTTCGATGAATTTTGAAATATTTCGATAAATTTTTGTATGTAACAAAAAAATATATTCTTTAGTAAATTATTTATATTTGTGTTAGCTGCTTTTATTATAGAAGAGATGATATTTTACAATACGATGTATGTATACATACACATACATATATGTATAAAATCGATATTTATTCCAATAATATTTTACATTTAGATATTTTTGCATTTTTTTTTTATGTTTAGGCATAAAAACGATCCGTATTCCAGATTACTAAAAACGTCTGTATTTGGAAAGAAATCGTAAACATCTGATTGCATTCAAAATCACGATGCGAAGGGACATTTTTATATTGTGAACAAAATTCTCAGTCGGGTCGAGATTTTGAAACGAGAACTAAAATGTTTTTAGAGACAGAGTGGCGATCGATATGAAAAACTCTCGGTTGATATGCAAAAATGCGTCGTATCCGTTTTGTGTATAATGGTATCAAATATTTATTCACGTACACGAAAAGAGAAAAACAAGAGATTAAACGACATAAAGGTGATCGAAATATATTTAAAATGTTTGTTTCTCGATATACGTGTAGGTAACATCAACGAGAACGTACGAGGAAATGAATAATCTTTCTTGCAATATCGAATAAATTGTTCGCATTTCACGTTTGATAAAATAGATTTGCCAGATATGCCGATAAATCGTGACTAAATGCACTGTAATGAAGTGGATTATCGGTTAATTAATATACTTTCTATAAGATATAATATATTTCCAGCTTTGTCAAATTGCAACGTTAATGTGCCAAAAGTTTATTTTTCTAAAATAAAATTAACTTGAAATTGAAATAGAATGGATTTAATTTTGTGCGCTATTACGATTACATTTCAACATCGTGATATATGGTATGTATTTACATTTAGCTACTACAAAAGGGAAACGACGTAGCGAGTAAAAAAAATAAAATTGGATATTCTGTAAAACCAGCTCGCCACTTCAAACGCGAATATTGGACAAAAATGTAAGCGATAAATCACAGATATTGAATTCGCCTAACGTTAATTTCATTTTCACGTGAAATTTCATCAAATAAAATAAATTGCTTACATCCGCACTGGCGATTTGTGTCTTTCAATGTTAATATAACAAATATGATAAATGAAAAATAATATGTCCAGGGTGTAAGCACGTAATGAATCTTTTTCATCTCCAACGTTTTACTGCGTCACATCCTCGCAACGTGATAGGAAAATTAACGCAATAAACATGGGAAATATAATACATCCTGCACGTTGCCTATAGATTATTTTTCATACTATTCTCTTAATACAGAGAGATATCGCAGAGCTCCGATCGACTAACGCATACATAGTCACGTGGATACATATACTATAGTATAGATGGAAGCGTCTTTATTATCACTCGTTAAGATCCAAAAGTGTGACGTTTGAGGTTTGAGGTCGCGAGTGTGTCTTTCGTCAGGTGGGACATATCCATGGCTCCCCTACTACCATTCCGGAGTAGCGCATATTACAGCACCAAGTATACAAACACACACCATAGAACCGCACATCGCTCATACCGAATTGGAACCGCGCGCGGCGTGTCACTCCGATTCATGCATACGTCTCTTCGAGCATCGCTCTGTAGAGAGAAAGAGAGAGAGAGAGAGAGAGAGAGAGAGAG